ACAGTACGTAAACTGTGGGTGCTCGACTGTGGCTTGAGTGAGAATGTCTGTTCTTAACTTGTCACGGTGTTAACAGAGTGGGGGTGTTGGTGTGGCTTGGTGTGTAAGTATGTAGACTGGTTGTGTGAGTGTAATGTGATTGTGACAATGTATGTTGTGTTGTAATTTGACCACCCAGTCATGTAAACTCAGTAAATTTGTTGTAAATTTTGAGAGAATGTAAAGTTTTGTATTGTTTTGTTCCCCTGTATACCCCCTACCCCTAAACCCTGACCATGGATATGGTTTTTTGCCTGTTTTTCTTCTTGTACATATTATGTTTTTGCTTGCTGCTTGCCTGCTTACTACTCTAATGTTGAGGACTGTTGTGAATAGATTTCTGATGTTTTCATGCCTATAATCATATCTGCTGCTGCTGCTATGCTATGTTGTTTTTTCATCATTGATTTATGAACTGATAGTAATTTCTATGTGTGTGTACAATGTTGTATATGTAATTTTGTTTATTTTCTGTCATAACTGGATGAGAAGACGTTGCTATGATGGTTATGTGTGTGTACGTGTGTGCATGTGTGTGTGTGCACGTGTGTGCACGTGTGTGTGCACCTGTGCGTGTACGTGCACCAGCACGTCACTTTATGCGTATGCGCGTGTGTGTGCTTGCGCGTGTGTGTGCTTGCGCGTGTGCTTGCGTTTCATTCGTGCACTTGTTTGGTTGTGTTCACCTGTGTGTATTTAAGTGCACGTTCACGCGCACACATTGTTAGCATGTGTGTGTGTGTGTGTGTGTGTGTGTGTGTGTGGATATGTGGATGCTCGAGCTCCTAGACTTTCTTCGTGTTGTGTGCCCCTGGACTTTGTGTTCATGTCTTCCCCTGTGTGTGTGTGTGTGTGTGTGTGTGTGTGTGTGTATGTGTGTGTGTGTGTGTGTGTGTCGCACCCTGGAGATCGTGCTCGGCACAAATGTGTGGTTGAGCGGGCCAAGCCGATTGCTGGACAGCAAGGTTCTTGTCACTGTGGGGATTGTGGGCATTGGTTTGGCAGCAAGGATGGTCTAGCTGTTCACTGCTGTTCTGCTCCTCAGCCTCCCCAGCCCTGGCAAGTTTGTGTATAGTATGCCTGCTGTACTGCGCACTGTGCTGTGTGTGCCCGTTGCTTTTGGACTGCGAAAAGTTACAGTCGTCACCGTTGCTCGAGGACTGGTCCCCGCCCAACTGCCCAGCAGCGTAATTCGTTCGCTAATGCATGCGTGTGTTTTCGCCGGTTCTGTTTGCTCCACCTTCTCCGGCGTCATCAGGCTGCGTGCTACATCTTCCTTGCTGATGCCCCTCCGAGGCCAACGTGACCCCTGTGGCAGTGGCTCAACAGGACAGGACAGGTGTGTTTGTGTGTATGTGTATGTGTGTGTTTGTGTGTGTGTGTGTGTGTGTGTGTGTGTGTGTGTGTGTGTGTGTGTGTGTGTGTGTGTGTGTGTGTGTGTGCCGCTCTACTCTTGGCTACCAAATCCATAGCTGCCGGAGATGGCTCTCTTGTGGTGCCAATTGAACATGGCCCCTGACCTGTCGGTGGACTTCTGACTTTCTGCCGTAGCTCGTCGTTTCCATGTTGTCGGCCCCGCAAGGGAACACGTGACCGTAATGGCAGTGCTTACCAGGACCAGGCCCAGGTGTGTTTGTGCAACCAACCACACTCTGTGTTAATGTCTGGGTTTGTGCGCGTGTTTGGGCAAGCAATCACTCTCTGTGTTTATGTCTGGGTTTGTGTGTTCGGGCAAGCAACCATTCTGAGTTTCTGTGTTTATGCCTGTGCGTGTGTGTATGTGTGTGTGTGTGTGTGTATGTGTGTGTTTGTGTGTGTGTTTGTTTGTGTGTTTGTGTGTGTGTTTGTGTGGTTGTGTTTGTGTGTGTTTGTTTGTTTGCGCAAGTAACCACACCCTGTGTTTATGTCTGTGTGTGTTTGTGTGTGTGTGTGTGTGTGTGTGTGCTTTCGTGCGTGTGTGCGTGTATGTGTGAGTATGTGTGAATCAGGTTGCGTGCTCCATCATCCTGTCTGATGCCCCTCCGGGGCCCACGTGACCCTTGTGGCAGTGGCTCTACAGGACAGGACGTGTGAAGGTGCGTGTGTGTGTGTGTATGTGTGTGTGACTTTTTTCTTTTTTCTACAAAATCCACATATCTCCAGATACTGGGGTGAATAATGGAGTGTGGTGGTCGGGCCCATTAAGCTCCTCCGAGGTCTCGGCTTCTTAGCTCCATGGACGCACCAAGCGGAGATTGGGTAATAATAATAATAATAGCAATCAAGGTAGGGTGACACGATACAATGACAGCACTGGAATATCGAGGTGCGATTTCTCACAAAAGCGTGCAGAACACAAGGGTATACAAATAAGAACTAAGCGTGACAAGTGTGTATCAGCAACAAAAACAAAAAAGTGAGAACGAATGATAATAATAACAATAATAAACAAGAAGGTGACAAAACACATTTAGGCACAAGTGGCAACAACGTTGCCACACTACACAAAAGAACATTATTTGAACAATTTTAGGATAATAACACTATCTTTCTGGACCCACAAATTCGGCTTATGAATGCGCTGACAAACAGCTTCCAAAACTTGTAACTGCAAAAGATAACCATGACGAGCACGGCACAAAAGTGTGAGGCGTGAGTCGAGATTGTGTGCGTCCGTCTCGTAATAAGTCTTCAGTATACAATCATTAGGTTTCTAGTACTGACTGTTGTCGTACTTATTCTGATTCCTGTTTTTCTGTTTTGTGCCGTGCTCGTCATGGTTATCTTTTGCAGTTACAAGTTTTGGAAGCTGTTTGTCAGCGCATTCATAAGCCGAATTTGTGTGTCCAGAAAGATAGTGTTATTACCTAGAAGGCGCTTTCAGCGCCTTCTAGGTTCAGCCTGGTCCCATAGCTCAGTGGTTAGAGCATTGCTCATGACAAGCAGGGTCCCAGGTTCGAGTCCTGGTGGGTCTGGCGTTTTTTCTCTTTTCAGGCAGTTCACTTCCCCGACTGATCCTTTGAATTTGAAGTTCTCCCAATCCTTTCCAAATTTAATCACTTTCTTTCACCTCTGGTAGTTTCCAGAAACTGACCGTGGTTGGTCCCCTGGGGGAGGGAAAAAGACCCAAGTGCCATCAGTATGTGTGGCACGTGTTGTGAGCTGCCTTTGGAGTGAAACACTTGTCAGCGCCTTCTAGGTTCAGCCTGGTCCCATAGCTCAGTGGTTAGAGCATTGCTCATGACAAGCAGGGTCCCAGGTTCGAGTCCTGGTGGGTCTGGCGTTTTTTCTCTTTTCAGGCAGTTCACTTCCCCGACTGATCCTTTGAATTTGAAGTTCTCCCAATCCTTTCCAAATTTAATCACTTTCTTTCACCTCTGGTAGTTTCCAGAAACTGACCGTGGTTGGTCCCCTGGGGGAGGGAAAGAGACCCAAGTGCCATCAGTATGTGTGGCACGTGTTGTGAGCTGCCTTTGGAGTGAAAAACTTGTCAGCGCCTTCTAGGTTCAGCCTGGTCCCATAGCTCAGTGGTTAGAGCATTGCTCATGACAAGCAGGGTCCCAGGTTCGAGTCCTGGTGGGTCTGGCGTTTTTTCTCTTTTCAGGCAGTTCACTTCCCCGACTGATCCTTTGAATAATAATAATAATAATAATAAAGGGTTGGCTCCCCACACCGGAGCTCGCGCTATTCCGCCGACTTTACTTGACACTTCAGGCACAATCTTCCTCAGCCTACTCAAGCTCAACGGATGAGGGGTGAATTCCCCGAAACACTGTGTATTGAGCAGGGAGTGGTGCTTTCTTGCAGGTTTGCCGAGTCGAAGGTTCGATGGAATTCTCGTGTGCTCTGGATGGCAGTCGTGAGTCAGTCAAGTGTCAAGTAAAGTCGGCGGAATAGCGCGAGCTCCGGTGTGGGAAGCAAACCCTTCCTTACAAATCATCGCCGAAGTCGCAACCACTACTTAATAATAATAATAATAATAAGTCTGAAGAAAATGTTGAACGGCCTCTGCTGGGATGACGACTACACAATAGCTCAGTGGTTAGAGCATCGCTGGCTACAAGCGAGGGTCCCTGGTTCGAGTCCTGGTGGTGACAGTCAATTTTTCTTCAGACTTTTCCCGTTTGTCTCTTTCCCTCAAACCAATTAATATTTTATGACTTGGGGCTCCCCGCGTGCTAGTTTGTACGTGAAGTGTTTGGGTTACAGTGAGGGCTGCGGCCTACCCGCCTGTGTGGATTCACAGGAAGTGTGAGTTACGAAGTCTGAAGAAAATGTTGAACCGCCTCTGCTGGGATGACGACTACACCATAACTCAGTGGTTAGAGCATCGCTGGCTACAGGCGAGGGTCCCTGGTTCGAGTCCTGGTGGTGACAGTCAATTTTTTCTTCAGACTTTTCCCGTTTGTCTCTTTCCCTTAAAACACCCTTAAACCAGTTAATAATAATAATAATAATACTTTATTGAAGTAATAATAAAACAGGTCGCGTAATGAAGCAGGATAAAGATAGATGAGCAAAGTCATGATGCCTGGTCCGCTTCTGTCCTGGGTTCACTACCCCGTGCGTTGCAGCCGCGAGCAAAACCAGCTCAGGCTGAGAGTTCCCTCCATGATTGCTTGTCCAAAGCGCGCATTCTGAGCCCACTCAGATCAGTCATGGTCTTCAGTGGCATGTCTCTGGCAGCTGTGCTTGCCTTGACTGCCGTGGCCAGGTTCGATTTCGGGCGTCCACGCACACCAGTGACATCTCGCCGGAAGTAGTTGTCCATTGCCTGCTGTGGTGGGGCATCTGAGGGCATACTCAGAACATGACCCAACATCCGGAAACGGCGGACAGCAACGGTGTGCGAAAGTGGCTGTGTGTGCTCTGGAATATAGGTCTTTGTTGGAGAAGATGGTGGGATACCTAATTCCGACCAAGTTCCGTAGTTGACGTATATGGAAGGCGTTCAGCTTCTCCAGTGCAGCCTCTGTCAGTCCTCAGGTTTCGCAGTTGTATAACAGTGTTGGTAGGAAGATGGCATTGTAGAGACGAAGCCTGGTTTCCTCGGATGCAAGTTGACGTTGTATCCAGAGCGAATACATGCGGCCATACGATGTTGATGCTTGGTCCATTCGTCGGCTCAAGTCCACCTCTTCCCCCAAGAGAGAGCCAAGTTGCTTCGATCTTCGCCATTCGGTGGTGGAGGCAGAGATGTGAAGCCACTCTGTTTTGCTGCTGTTAACGTTGAGTGACCAGTCACCCAGGCCGTCAGCTATCACGGGTAGGGAGTTGGCAAGCCATTGTCGCTCCGTTGAAAAGAAGGAAATGTCATCGGCATATCCTGTTTCCGGTGGTATTGCTGCATCAGTGTCTGGCCGTGGTGGTAGTTTGCTTCGAGTCTCCCTCAGTGCTGCTTCCAGGTAGCAAAAAAACAGAACCGGGCTCAGCCCATCACCCTGTGGTGTACCTAGCGTGCTAACAAAAGCCTCCGCTGAAGTGGCACCCACTTTCTCAGAGAGTGTTGTACCATACAGCAAATGGTGAATCAGGCAAGCCTCGTCAGGTCCGGTAATCTCTGACATAACAGCAAGGAGCTTTGTGCGGCTAATGGTGTCGAATGCTTTCGACATGTCGAGGCCAAGGACGTGGCAATCCCACACGAAGTGGGTGGCCTTAGCTGAAATCCAGCGATGTGTCCACACCACATCGGCAGCGCCACGGCCAGGCCTGAAACCAGACGAAGTGGATCCAAGATAATGCGACACACGTGGTAGGATTAGGAGTAGTGAAAGGTGGGAACCTTGAGGCACTCCGCAGTTGATGTTCCACTTCTTCGATTTAGTGCCATGTACCTTCACTTCAATTTGTCGATCCCCTAAGAAGCTCTTGAGCCATTTTACTGACGAAGCTGTAGCAATCTTACTGAATTTCTTTAGGAGTATAGAGTGGTCGACCCGGTCGAATGCTTTCCTGAAATCTAGAGATATCAGGTCAAAATTAGTGCCATTATCAATATTTACAGCCAGTGATTGGGTTAGCAAGATGAGTTGGTCCGTTACAGACTTGTTGCGTACATATGCGTTGTCTTCACCATCTCGTAGTTCCTTTAGCACGTAACGGTCTGCTTGGGAGATGTTGCATTTAGGATTCTGCCATTTTCCTGTCGTTCTCACCTGTGATAAATGGCTCGGCTGGGTCGATGTCACGTGATGGTGCTTTTCTCTTTATCTTTTAAAAACAATCTGAATTGACAGTATCGAAAGTTCCACCAGTTTGCCGCCACAAAAGCAGTGTCACCCGCATGCAAAGATCTAACAAACCTGACAGAACAACCTGTTGACACCGGTCTCCACCATCTCTTCTCTTTCCCATGTCCAGAAGGCTGTCTTGGTATGCTTGATCCCATCGAACTGGGTACGCTGTATCGTTCCTCACCATCCCTCACCTCTACAACATCATGACTCAATGTCCACAGCTTAGAACTTCGCTGTCCACCTTCAGTCATATGAACACCAAGGAAGGTAGGCAATGAAACTAGCCAATATTCAGGGTGCTGCTGCTGCTGCTGCTGTTGCTGCGGTGACGTTGTGTCATCAGCACATTCTCTGAAAGTCTGCATCGTGCCATGCAGCAGGTCCGCGAGTCCGGAGTATACAGCTGACTAACCATCTGTCGTCCACTGAAGGCTCCTGGGTTCTAGCTGTCAAACAGTGAATGCAGAGATGGTCTTGTTCTGCGATATGCCAGCCCAGCAGACTACCATTACATAATGTCATTAGAGGTACATTGTATGTGAGTTGGTCGAGTCTAGCGTGTGTTTCTCAATAGACATTGTTACCATTTTACCGTTCACGCTATTTTCCACTGTCGGCCTATACCGTTTTGTGTGTGTATAGACATGGCATTTTACCGTTCACGCTATTTTCCACTGTCGGCCTATACCGTTTTGTGTGTGTGTATAGACATGGCATTTTACCGTTCACGCTATTTTCCACTGTCGGCCTATACCGTTTTGTGTGTGTGTATAGACATGGCATTTTACCGTTCACGCTATTTTCCACTGCCGGCCTATACCGTTTTGTGTGTGTGTGTAGACATGGCATTTTACCGTTCACGCTATTTTCCACTGTCGGCCTATACCGTTTTGTGTGTGTGTGTAGACATGGCATTTTACCGTTCACGCTATTTTCCACTGTCGGCCTAAACCGTTTTGTGTGTGTGTAGACATGGCATTTTACCGTTCACGCTATTTTCCACTGTCGGCCTAAACCGTTTTGTGTGTGTGTAGACATGGGATTTTACCGTTCACGCTATTTTCCACTGTCGGCCTATACCGTTTTGTGTGTGTGTATAGACATGGCATTTTACCGTTCACGCTATTTTCCACTGTCGGCCTATACCGTTTTGTGTGTGTGTGTAGACATGGCATTTTACCGTTCACGCTATTTTCCACTGTCGGCCTATACCGTTTTGTGTGTGTGTAGACATGGCATTTTACCGTTCACGCTATTTTCCACTGTCGGCCTATACCGTTTTGTGTGTGTGTATAGACATGGCATTTTACCGTTCACGCTATTTTCCACTGTCGACCTATACCGTTTTGTGTGTGTGTATAGTAGGCCTTGACGGATTATGCTAGCATAATTTTTCGCATAATTCCTACCAAAATCGAATAATCGCATAATTCGAGGCAAATTGCATACGAATCGCATAAAATTGTAATAATCCGCCTGTTCGCATCAAATTCCATACAGTTGTACATGTTCTACAAGTACAAGTACAAGTAGATGCACTAGGAAGTTGTAGGTTTACGACTCCCTTGATAACATGTCCAGTCCACTACAATCAGTGATGGTCGTAGCTAGGTCGGACGGTGCGTTGACCCCGTTGAACTTTTGCTACTACAGTACAACGCCCTCTACAAAAACATTCCCCTGTTATTTTGCATTAGCAGCATATGTGAGCATTAATGCGGCATAATATGGTAACTTTTAGCATAAAAATAGCATAATTCTGCAATTTTTTCAGCAATGCGAAAAGCATAATTTCACGAAAATATTAGCATAATCCGTCAAGGCCTAGTGTATAGACATGGCATTTTACCGTTCACGCTATTTTCCACTGTCGACCTATACCGTTTTGTGTGTGTGTAGACATGGCATTTTACCGTTCACGCTATTTTTCACTGTCGGCCTATACCGTTTTGTGTGTGTGTGTATAGACATGGCCACATGTATCAAAGGAGGCGAAATCGCCTGTTTGTGGTGCGACGTTAAATAAACTTCTACAACAACAACAACAACATGGCATTTTACCGTTCACGCTATTTTCCACTGTCGGCCTATACCGTTTTGTGTGTGTGTATAGACATGGCATTTTACCGTTCACGCTATTTTCCACTGTCGACCTATACCGTTTTGTGTGTGTGTGTAGACATGGCATTTTACCGTTCACGCTATTTTCCACTGTCGGCCTATACCGTTTTGTGTGTGTGTGTAGACATGGCATTTTACCGTTCACGCTATTTTCCACTGTCGGCCTATACCGTTTTGTGTGTGTGTAGACATGGCATTTTACCGTTCACGCTATTTTCCACTGTCGGCCTATACCGTTTTGTGTGTGTGTATAGACATGGCATTTTACCGTTCACGCTTTTTTCCACTGTCGACCTATACCGTTTTGTGTGTGTATAGACATGGCATTTTACCGTTCACGCTATTTTCCACTGTCGGCCTATACCGTTTTGTGTGTGTGTGTAGACATGGCATTTTACCGTTCACGCTATTTTCCACTGTCGGCCTATACCGTTTTGTGTGTGTGTATAGACATGGCATTTTACCGTTCACGCTATTTTCCACTGTCGACCTATACCGTTTTGTGTGTGTGTATAGACATGGCATTTTACCGTTCACGCTATTTTCCACTGTCGGCCTATACCGTTTTGTGTGTGTGTGTAGACATGGCATTTTACCGTTCACGCTATTTTCCACTGTCGGCCTATACCGTTTTGTGTGTGTGTGTAGACATGGCATTTTACCGTTCACGCTATTTTCCACTGTCGACCTATACCGTTCTGTGTGTGTGTAGACATGGCATTTTACCGTTCACGCTATTTTTCACTGTCGGCCTATACCGTTTTGTGTGTGTGTATAGACATGGCATTTTACCGTTCACGCTATTTTCCACTGTCGGCCTATACCGTTTTGTGTGTGTGTATAGACATGGCATTTTACCGTTCACGCTATTTTCCACTGTCGGCCTATACCGTTTTGTGTGTGTGTGTATAGACATGGCATTTTACCGTTCACGCTATTTTCCACTGTCGGCCTATACCGTTTTGTGTGTGTGTGTAGACATGGCATTTTACCGTTCACGCTATTTTCCACTGTCGGCCTATACCGTTTTGTGTGCGTATAGACATGGCATTTTACCGTTCACGCTATTTTCCACTGTCGGCCTATACCGTTTTGTGTGTGTGTGTAGACATGGCATTTTACCGTTCACGCTATTTTCCACTGTCAGCCTTTACCGTTTTGTGTGTGTGTGTAGACATGGCATTTTACCGTTCACGCTATTTTCCACTGTCGGACTATACCGTTTTGTGTGTGTGTGTAGACATGGCATTTTACCGTTCACGCTAGATCCAACGGTACTCGTACCCAACACCCAAAATAGCGTCGGTTTGGTAAGGTTTCGACGATGGAAAGCCATGTTCAGCGGGATAACGAAACGGTGAGGTTCCAAGTTAAAGTTACGTCACAACTCACAAGTCGATCGTTGCATCAGGAGTCATGACTCAGAAGCCGAACTGCTAACCGTGTCTCGAAAACATACGAAAACCAGTAGACTCGCCCTCTACACACCGACCGTCGAAAATAGCGTGAACGGTAAAATGCTAACATGTCTAATGTATGGGTTTTCAACTCTTTCGCACAGTCGAATCGGGCACATCCTTCGCGACTTTGGTCACTGGAGTGAAGTGCATGCATGCGCAACCGCGCAACCGCGCAGACGCTACAATGTCAATATGTAGATCTACAAGGGAGTCGTAAATTAATTTTTAAATTAATTTTTACGACTCCCTGCATGTCATGTACACAACTAGCTACACAGTAGAGACTACATTTTTTTTTTTGTAGACACCAGCGAAAATTAAAAAGCGAAAACTGATAATGCGCGCGGGGAAAGACCGAGTCGCCGCCGCGCCGGCCAGCACCGCGCAGCCCCTGCCCCCGGGGCCCCGGCCGCGGCCCCGTGTTCACCCTGATGTCAGTTTGATTGTACCACACAGTCCTGCACTCAGAGTTGTTCCGTTCACTTCACTCAGGTCATCAGATTTCCATCACTGAACTGAGAAACTGGGCTTTCGTCTTTCACACCCACCAGTGACCTGTTGTGTTTTGAAAGCAATGGATGCGAAGGCTCCGGAGCCCGCCGCAAAGCGCAAGGCTCTGCTGCCTTCGTTGGTGAAAGCTAAGAAGAAGTTGTTGGAACAGGCTGAAGAGTCGGGAGTTCAGCTGAGCGGCGGCCTCGCTTCCGATGATCGCATTCCGCTCGAACAGATATTCGTGAATTTGGCCTTTGTGTCCGAAAAGGAAGTGAAAAAAGACTTTGATGAAGCGTTCTCGACGTATGCTGAGAGTCGTGAACACGCAGTGCAATTAAGCAAAGCCGATCGAATTGAATTGAAGAACCTGTTTCGTGCCTCAGGTTCGAGTATTGACGACGTTTCCCATTCAAAAGGAAAATCTGCACCAGCAGCTACAGCGACCGAGCGACCGAATCTCTGTGGCAAAGTGTTACGGAATGTACTGGCGTACGGATCTGCTGGTAGTGGCAAGACCACAGTGTTTCTGCTCATGGTTCTATACCTCTGGAGCAGAGGCGAACTGTGGCAGGAGGAATTCGATCTGGTCGTGGGACTGGAGCTCCGTGAAAAAGAGGTGAGAGCTGCCACTAGTCTTGCTGAGCTGTTGGCTGTGAAACTGGCGAGCCAGGGCCTGTCGCAGACTGAGATATTGGAGCTAGCAAGCTACTTCGAGGATTCTCCTGGCCGTCTATGTGTCATCATGGACGGCTTGGACGAATGTGATTTCGCCAGCTGCAGTGTGTTCATGAGTGACTTGCTGAAACGTGAGGGCATGGTGAAGACACACGTGATCGTCACAAGCCGTCCATGCCAGGATGCATATCAACTATCGCAGTGTGGCAAATATCAGCAGAAGATCCAAGTACTGGGTTTCTCACCGGAAAACGTGAGGGAGTACGCGGAGAAGGTCCTCGGTAAACAACGCGCTGAAATTCTGCTAGCAGAGCTGCAGAGCAAGCCGGATGTGTCATGTCTTATGGCAACTCCCATGTTTGCAGCCCTTACATGTGACCTTTTCAAGAGCAGCAATGCCGTGTGGCAGTGCAGCGCATCCCTGTACGAATCGTTACTGCGCCGAGTCGTAGAGCGTGCTGGTGGTGCGGTTTGCGAGTCGATTTCACTGGCACCCAGCAAAGTGGTCCAGTCGCTAAAGGAACTGGGGCGTTTTGCGTTTCGCATGCTGCTGGTGAAAAGGATGGTGTTCAACACGTCCGACATCATCAACTCCCACTTGAGCAAGGATGCAATGA